TTCTAGGACACCCACCCCACCATGAGCGAGAAGTGTCCTGAGCATGATATTCTCCCAAATGCTTCTTCAGAGCAGCGCCTCAGTGGCGCTCACAGAATGAAGTTGACTCACTCCACCATTCAAATACAGCATCACAGTAAGTATTTGGGAGTAACAAGCTAATTTATGCTTAAATTTTGGGAAGAGACTAAAAAGATCTGTCCTTTAGAAGGGAAAAGATGGACACTTGGCCATGAAATGAGTGGAACTGGTCATCACAGAGGTCAACCTTGAAGAGATTTGACAACAACCAGAACTCCAATCCAGTCTGTGGTGTGATCCTTGGAGCAAGAACTCTAAAGAAAAAGGGGTGGGATGTTAGTCAGTTTTATTTATGCATCCAAATGCAGACCTCATGGACCAAACTGTTTGGTTGGTGTGAACTACGGGAAGAGGAGGCCCAGAAGGTATGAGGGAATGATATTTAATCTACATCTTGTGAGGAAGTTGAACACAGGTCAGTGTTTACTGTGTGTGCTCTGGAGGGAGAAATAATTCAGTCTTATCTCCAGACCCCTTGATCCGCAGTCTCTTCTCTCACTTTAGAATTCCTAAAGTGACAGCTACCCCAGAGTTCCCAGGATGTTATCGCAGACAGAAAGGCATTCTGGTCATTAGGCAGAAAAATCCCTGGCTTAATAACAGCAGCATTCTTGGCTGGTTATGTCAGTAACAAAGCAGGCATCCAGTAGGTTGGGATGAGGGCAGATGTACTCAATATGTCTGGCATGAGGCTGAGCCCTAAGAAGGATGTGGTATTTTCCCAGTCCTTTCCCCTCTCCTTGCCTCCATGCAGTAATAACAAATAAGAAATGCAGATGGATATTCACCAGGGGATGGGGGCACCTGCTCAGCTCTCCACATCTCCTGATTGGTCTTTGGGGAAATCATGTAGTCTCCAGGGAGCTGGATTCTTAAACCAAAGTGACGGTTTAGACTGGACACTATCTAGCTTCCTTTCTCTCTAATAGTCCGAGGGACTGTACTTGTAGTTAGTTCTGTGCCATTATCTTGATTCCATTCAGCTCGATTCCAAATGTTCTGCTGAATGAATCATTCATAATAACAAGGAACATCAAGCAGGTTAAAAGTTCAAGCTCACCAAGGCGGCAATCCTAACAGATACCCTTCTGTTTTCTTTATTGCTTTTGTGTTACGGGTCTGAACGTTTTGCCTGGATGTATGCCCGCATACTACCTGGCTGCCTTGCACCTGTGGGGGTCAGAAGAGGGTGTCAGGTCCCTTGGAACTGGAATTTAGCATGATTATAAGCCATCATGTTTTTGTTGGGCACCAAACCA